AAACTAGGGTTCTGAAACTGGGGTTCTGAAACTAGGGTTCTGAAACTTGGAGTCTGACACTGGTATTCTGAAACTGGTGTTCTGAAACTAGGATTCTGAAACTGGGGTTCTGCAACTTGTATTCTGAGACTGGAAAGTCAGATTCTGCAACTAGTATTCTGAAACTGGGATTCTGAAACTGGAAAGTCCGATTTTGCAACTGGCATTCTGAAACTGGTATTCTGCAACTGGTGATCTCCACATCATGCGATAGCGCGTGCCTGTGACTTCATCTTCGAAGCACATCCAAACCAACGTCATTAGCCCCCCACCCAACCCCCCCACCCCCCCAATCCCCCCTTGTCCCCAACGTGTGATCTCGGCATCACGCCAACCCCCTCATCAAAAGTTGCGGAGTCCTAATCCACAATATCTACAATTTTGCGGAATCCTAGTTGCGGAACGCCAGTTGCGGAATCCCAGTTGCAGAACTTAGTTGCCGAATCCTAGTTGCGGAATCCTGATAGTTGCAGAATCCCAGTTTCGGAATTCTAGTTGCTGAATTCTAGTTGCGGAAACCTAGTTGCGGAATCTCAGTTGCGGAATCCTAGTTTCGGAATCCTAGTTGCGGAATCCCAGTTGCGGAATCCGACCAAATAGTTGCGGAATCCTAGTTGCGGAACTCGACTTTATCCCCTGCCTAAACCCCTGTGACCCAGTTCTGCGGCGAATGACATTCTGTCAGTTCATCTCCGCCAGTTCATCCCGCAGATCATTAGTTGGCATCCGCCAATCAACCGACGTCAACCGCGCCTTGACGGCATTGTGCTCCTCCTCATATGCGGTCTTCATACTCCGCAGGTTCTGTTGCATGGCGCAGCACAGATGCACCAGGTCCTCATGGCTCAGCTGTGCGAAGTCCTCGCCAACGCGGGGTCGATGCGGAGGGAAGCGGTGCGGAGGGAAACGCGGAGTCGGTGCAGTGGACGTGTTCAGTGAGTCATGAGGTGGGTGGGACATGGTGGGAAAACAGGACATGTCTCCTGAGGAGTGGAGCTTTCGAGATAAATAGACTGCGAGAAACCCAAAGGTTGAGAACATGAGCATTGAATCCTGAACATTTTATGAAGCCAAGCAAGTCTTTTGCAAAGGTTGCTTAGGAGAAGAGGCATGACGAGGTCGTGCCTCTTTGTGTCTCCCTTCTCCAATTTTTGTGAACTGGATCACCTAGCCGTGATCTGGGACAAACATCTTCGCTGTTGGGGGACAAACACCCTTCGCGAATGTTGGGGACCATTTTGAGATGAACATTCTGAACATATACCTGGAACAAATGAGATCTCCCGATCACATCCGATCACCTGTTCTGCCATAGGGCGCACTTCTACACAATTTGCAGAATGTTCGCTTGCAAACTCTTCCACTGCAAAGAACAACTCCTTTAAGAAACGTGAGCCATGAAGAAACAAATAGAATATGACCTTCATCAATCTTAAAATAAGAATACATAAGCATACATAAGATATTTCCCGGCTTAAGATAAATGGCCCTAAACTTCCAACAATTCCCGGAACGGGTTCCGCTTGGACTGACCTTTTCGAAAGAGCTTGAATGCACACAGCTTGTTGAATCACCGGTCTTTCGAACTGTGCCAGGCGGCCAAGTCCAACTCATCCAGGGCCGCGTTCTCAAGGCCCTTCACCTTAGAGGCCGATCGATCACCATGTTTGTTTAAGTGAAAGAACAGGAAAAACACATAGACAAACAGAACGAACACTGGACATGAAAACAATCGAATCACCATCTTGGAAATGCGATTTGATGGCGTTGTGAACCCTGGGACCCGCTGGGATGCTGGTTGACTCACCACAAACATGGACGCGCAACGTCCGGTTGCGCCACCATGCCCTTGGGCTTTGCTGGGCTTTGCTGGGTACAGGGGTGTTTGGTAAGGTCAAATGATCGGTGGAGCCAGATGATCACCCACAAAAAAGATGAGGACAATATCTCATTGGTGAAGAACATCAGCACGAATCAATTACGGATTATGTATGGGCAACTAATTGTGTGCAAATGGCAGATGGAATCGGCAGGCGACGCAAATTATCAAGAACCTTCGCTAAAACTTCACGGATGCTTCAAATCCAATTTCAGGCGGGCGTTGGGGTGTTGTAGATAGACTACACAAACTTGGCAAACGAAAAGAACTGCAATGAAGAACTTGAAGAAGAATCTAAGCTTTTTTCTTTGAATATAACATCACAAACACCAGCAGACCAGGACCACACAAAAACCGAATCAATGAATGCATCTGCACGGGGCTGTGGTGGCAACTACATGCATCTCGTCGTTGTCTACAAGACAAAACACACCGCTGGTGAGTGAGATTGGATCCTACGTAGGTACTGAGGAAATGCCAAATCACATGCAATGGAACCACCTGAGCCGGGTGGAATGGAGTTCTTTTGACACAACGAGTGTGCATCGAAGCATCGGTGTTATTGACTCGATGGTGCTTTAGAGATCTGCACATCGACTCGAGACACCTGTTTTGGCATTGGGAAAACGAGGTTCTTTGTTTCCAAGTGAACCATGATCCGAATAGCCACTTGAACTCGGGAGGCTCCCTTCCTTGGGGGGCGTCTTACGCCCCAAAATTCCTCACGAACGGCTGCGCTCTTTTGCTTGAACAGGTGCAGAATCAACACGAATCAACTCAGGGCAAAGGCTTCTTGCCGGCTGGAAGGGCCGGAGGTTCCGAGCTTCAAACAAGACTTTTGTTGATCGGTGCGACCGGGAGGTTCCGAGCGCCAAGGTGACTCACACTGATGCGGCCTTGCCAGAACCTACTGGATGTATTTAGCGATCCCCAATGACAGCACAGCAAATCACCAACTAAAGTAACTAAAGAAATGCACTCATCCTTTTTGAAGATGTCAACTGAAAGCCATCTCTGTCAATTTTTGGCGGTCTTGGGGATTCTTGGGGAGCCACTTCTCATCTTAACTTCTCCTTCTCCCAGTCACTGGAGAGAGATCTCCCTCGCTGATCGCGTCAGGGAAGCTCTTCCAGTGCATCAACGAGCGCTCTGCGTCGGCCCAGTTGGCCTCCGAGTCCTTGCGGCCTCCGACTTCGTATTCGCGAAGAAACGTGGCAAGGATCGACGAAGGAAACCGTAGGCCGTTCGTTTGGGCCAAGGATCGACTTTGTTCATAGACGCAAAAAGTAGCTCAAAGGGCCTCCCTCCGTACAAACGAACAATTTGCAAATCACAATCATAGTTTCGCTGTTTCGCGTGCCATGTTACTTGCTTAGTAAAATGTTGACAAGCAGTGATGGCTTCTTCCTGCCTTCTCGTAATCTTCTCCTGAGCTCCTCTGCTACGGACTTCTGATTTCCTACTTCCACCATCATCAATTACACACTAGTAGCTTCTGGTTCCTAGTAGTAAGCCAGGAGCGCCCCTAGTAGCGTCCTTGCTCCTAGTAGCGATGCCCTTTGTTACTAGTAGCTTCTTGCCACCAGTATATAACCGCTTCAGGTCTGAGGCCTTGGTCGCCGCCTTGGCCACTTCTTCCGTCTTCCCTTTCTCCGCCTGTCTCCATCCATAGCTGATGCGCTCGTCGGGTGACCTCCTCGTTGGCGCGTTGCAGCAAGCCCACCCCGGTGCCGCCCTCCAGAAGTGTGGCGAGAAAGCGCGGCGACAGCTGGAAGTTCGACACATCATGGCGAAACATCGTGGCTGCTGTGGGGGCAGGGGATGGCAGGGGCAGGGGTGAAGTATGGTGAAGTGGGAGCTGTGGCTGGTCTCCTCGAATTTGCGACTTCCATCCGCACCCTTCCCCAACGAGGGTCTTCGGGGCTGGAAAAAGACGCTGCCCAAGAAGGTTCTGTCGAGTGGGGAACAAGCGAAACAAAACAGAAGTGGAAACACACACACATGTATAAATCACAGTTCCTTTCCCCTGTGTCTTCAAATCATTTCAAAACCTCTTTTTAGTCGGTTTTCTTGCTTCTGTCCGAAGGTAGAAACTCTTGCCAACTGCCAACTGACATGCAAAATCGTTTCACCTTTGGGCCATCATGTTCAGGCTTGGGCGGGTGTTCCAGGCCCGGCCTCGAGCCAGGCTGCGTGGGCACGCAATGCGTGGGCCGGCTCACTCCGACAATCACGTCATGATATTGGCAGAAGTAGAAGCGTATCATCCGTAGTACACTTTGGGGCCGGGCCATAACATTTTAGTCACTACGTGAAGGTGTAAGAGTGAGTGAAAAAGACTAATTAATATGAACTGCACATATTACATGTTTACAACCGCACACAATGCAGATTCATGTAGTTGCTTGTATGTATATGTATTTGCACAATACACCTGGACAATCATTGATGTAAATACTCACACCCAGCTTCGATTCTATCATAGCAAACACTAAACACTTGATACAGCGCATATGGTCATATTGTGACAGATGGAATGATATGACCAGACTGAGCCCACACAATTCTTTTGTGTTGGCATCTTCATGCATTAGAACGTTTTGGAATTCAAGTTGGGGCTTTGTGAATGGTTCATAGATGCTCTCTGGATTCTTATCCAAGTCAAACCT